ATAACTTTCTTATTTTAAGTCTTAAAATCATTGTATATGTCAATTTTCAGTGAATAAGCTTCAGTAGTTACTAAAACATCGCAGTTTTCGTATTTCTGAAAACTACCATTATATAGGAAGTGGGCGTGGTTACGGTCCGATTTCGCCCATTTTCAATACCAATACCTACCTTGGGTAAAGGGCAATCTATATACCAAATTTTGTCGAGATATATCAATTTTTGCTCGAGTTATTGTGTACACGGACGGACGGGCGGACAGACAGACATGGCTTAATCGACTTCTCTTTTCATTCTGATCATTTATGTACACATTTGTCTATATCTATCTCGATTCGTTTGGCTGTTACAAGCAACCGTTATGTGAACAAAGTTATCATACCCTTGTGCAAAAGTGCGCTCGGGTATAATTAATAATCGAATAATGCAGCTGGAAGCGAAGTTCATCAGAAATGATATAAGAATAAAAGTTAATATACATAAGCAAAATAACGTTGATTTTTGTAATTTTTTCACGGTGTCACTCTTTTTCTTCCACACAATTTTTTTTATATGAGGAAAATGAACAAAATTGTCATCAAAAGAAATTACCAAAAACTAATAAATATAATTGAGGGATTCACAACGGTGTCCTAAGTGTCGTATTGTTGTATGTCGTATACTTTAAAAGCTTAAATAAATGTTTAGAGAACTTGAAACCATAACCAGCTATTTTTTATAACAGCGAAAATTCATAATATGACTTTGATGGTACTTTGCAAACCCCCTTAATATATCTTTTAGGCGTTTAAAGTTTACGACATACAACAATACGATACTTAAGACACCGTTGTGAATATCCTAAATATGCAGCGCAGTGTTGGTTGGTTGGTAGAAGTGTCGCCTGGGTACATTCCCAGGACCCAATTAGTGCTGAAAGCACCATTTTGATACGCTTTCTCTGGGACCCCTGATTTTATCTGCTTTCGTGATTCGTTGGGTTCGACAAACCATTTGGATTTTCCGATGAATCTATTTAGGTTAGTAATGGTAAATTTGGAAATTTCCCCAAGATTTTGGATGGAAAAACTCCCGAGTGTGATCTGCCTTATTTGTGCCAACGCTGGGCACTCGCAAAGATAGTGAAGGACCGTTTCTTTACTTCCCACAAGATTACAGCTACGGCACCGAGGGTTATACGGAAGTCCCATTTTAGCTGCATGTTCATGGGCTAATGTCCCATTATCGTGGCTGTTAACTTGACTATATCTTTCCTCGACCTCTTGAGAAGTTCTTCTGTCTGTTGTTGCAGCGCAGTGTACTATTAACTTGCTTGACTTGGGGGGGGGGGGGGCAACAACGCAAATTTGTGTTATTTTCCAATTGAATGTGAAATAACACAAATTTGCTTTATTTCATTTCTCGTTGAGTAATAATTTTACACTTAACAATTGAGTAATAAAGGAAAATAATGCACATATGTAGGTAGTCACCCAGTTACATTTGACAAAAAGTACTACACGAACAAGTTAAATTCGTTCGACGTTGCGCTCGCGTCCCCCGCCCCCTCCCCTCCTTTCGCAATTATGCACTGGTGGCATTACAACCGTTTAGAAAAAAGAAAATTAATAAAATAACACTAGTTCACTTCTGGAACTGCTTTTTAATGTCCAAGTAATGGGAATTATTGTGTATGGTGTTATTGTATGCATCCTACCCATAGTGGAATTAACCAGGTGCCACTGCCTTATTTGAAAATTTGCCTATAAAATGTGACTATAAGGCAGCCGAGTGTCAGAAAATAAAGCGAGAAAGCCGTTTTATTACTTAGTCTGTTTATTGCGACATCGTTCCATGCAAACATTTTAAGGTTTTCCAGCAATGTTAAAAACCATGCAGATAAAATTCGNAAAATTTGCCTATAAAATGTGACTATAAGGCAGCCGAGTGTCAGAAAATAAAGCGAGAAAGCCGTTTTATTACTTAGTCTGTTTATTGCGACATCGTTCCATGCAAACATTTTAAGGTTTTCCAGCAATGTTAAAAACCATGCAGATAAAATTCGTACAAAAGCGCTATGTCCAATATGACGAGCAGTTATTAAAGACGATGCTTTCCCTATATTTTGTTAGACTTTTCATAAGTAAAAATATTTTGTGAATATTACTTTCTTCATATGAATTATATCACATTTTTTGTTTAATTCAAGGCCTATCAAACAGGTTTAGAGCATTTGAGCAAAAACAACATTTGCCTGTATTTTGTTGTTGCTTCTGGTATCGAAAGTGTCAAAAACAGTTCTAATTTTTTTTCTACATCAAAGCGTGCCATGTGAAATAAAAAAAGATAAGAAATTAAAATGGAAAAAATTCAAATTGGAGTTGTTGTTAGTAAATTGGTTTGCTTCTCGAAGCATTGATCCATCCTGTGCGAGGCCTAGTAATCAGCGGTTGTGCTGAGTTGGGCGAGCGTTCCAAAAGCTGCTATTCAATCGCTGGTTTTGTATGGAAAAAGGTTTCACATGCAAATAGATTTTAACAATTTAGAATTTTTGTGAGAAGAAATTAAAAATATTTGACATTTTCGAGAACAAATAATTTGAAAAAAAATCAAATCAGCTGCTATACTGATACTACCTGTTCAATGTGCCTTGGTTTAGTTGTATTTTTGGAATAAACAAAGTTCTTTTTCCTCCTGTCAGTAAACTATTTTTTTACAAATAGTATAAATAAGCAATGGGAAACAACGCAATATTCAGATTTTGGTATTATTTCCCATTTAAAAGTGGAATAAAGCAAATTTTGTGTTATTGCCGTTTGTGTTATTAACCCTGTAGGTCCCTCCCCTTTGTGTGACAACATCAAGGCGCACGCCATATATCGGAGGAAAAGCTGGGCCAAACAGTAATATATGTTTAAGCGCCAATCTATTATTGTTATTATTCACTTATTCGTTATTTATGTATTAAAATAAATATATAACAAATTTTTTGTGTGTTTCAATGTGAAGAATGTGTCCTCCTGGAATGCTAAAAAATTCTGGTCACCTTATATTAACCCTTTGTAGTAATATATGAAGACGGAAATTCAATAGATAAAAACTTAATTTTACCAGAAATTGATTTTTCGGATTTTAATTTTAGCGATTTTTCGTCAGACGAATTAGAATAACGAGGGCTTGTATTCTATAGCCTCTATGTGCAATTTTCATAAAAACTACTTTGTGGTGTTAGAATCTATCTGACAATTACGTCTTTGGTGGATTTTTATATCAGAATCTAATTTTTGTGAAAAGTGCAGATAGAGCGTATTGAATATAAGAGGGATGGGCGTAATCAGGAAAATGAATAATTGAATAAAAAAAATAAGAATAAGTATTCATTCATCATTTCAACAATTTTGAATGACGAATAAATATTTATTGATGTATTGTGGAACGATTTTCCGTCATCTTTTGTCAAATTTGCCGATGAGGGAAAATCGTTCCACAATACATCATACTCCTACCCTGTCGGAAACACAAACAACCAAAACGAAATTTTTATTCTTCATTCAAGCACTTGCGAATGATGAATAAATTTTTATACATCACTCAAGTCATTTAAAATAACGAATAAATTTTTATTCTTCATTCAAGCACTTTAGAATGGTGAATAAATTGTTATTCATCATTAAAGTAATTTCAAATAACGAATAAATTTTTATTCTTCATTCAAGCACTTTCATTCAAGTAATCTCAAATAACGAATGAATTTTTATTCTTCATTCAAGTAATTTCAAATAACGAATAAATTTTTATTCTTCATTCAAGCACTTTCATTCAAGTAATCTCAAATAACGAATGAATTTTTATTCTTCATTCAAGTAATTTCAAATAACGAATAAATTTTTATTCTTCATTCAAGCACTTTCATTCAAGTAATCTCAAATAACGAATGAATTTTTATTCTTCATTCAAGTAATTTCAAATAACGAATAAATTTTTATTCTTCATTCAAGCACTTTCATTCAAGTAATCTCAAATAACGAATGAATTTTTATTCTTCATTCAAGTAATTTCAAATAACGAATAAATTTTTATTCATCATTCAAGTAATTTCGAATGAAGAATAAATTTTCATTCATGATTTGAGTAATACTGAATAACGCATAATTTTTCATTTATTCATTCTTTCTTGACCACAGTACCAGGTAGACGATCATGGTAAATGTTCGGGTCTTATATACATACATATCTATTGTGTGTGAAATAGTAGAAAATATAGTATCAAAATCTACAAAAATTTATTCATCATTCGAAAGTGCTTAAATGAAGAATAAAAATTTATTCGTCATTCACAATTAGAAAAATTATGAATAAAATTTTATTTTTTATTTGAATAATAATTCATTCAACAACGCCCATCCCTGGAATATAAGCCCTTGATATGTTTGTTTTTATTGAATGCATGTTTGCCTAAACGTATGTTTTTGTTATTGGATTAATCAAATGTGTATATTGACACTGGTTACGGAGATATGTAAAACATTTTGTCATAAGTAGGTGGTACCATACCCCTTGACCAATTTTTTAAATTCTTTATTGCATGCCTACGTACGTTTAGCTCCTGTTATTACAGAAAATCTATGAAAAACTATTAATTTTTAAGCACCTTGTTATTGTACCACCCTATAATCAGAGGCATTTTAAAGGCTAGCATTTGAAATATTTCCGAAAATAATGGGCTTATCGAGTTTGGTAAAGCGGCTTCTGAGATAAAACATTTTATCCTACGTGGACAATTTTCAGAAAATTATCTCCACTAATTACTAAAAAAAATTTACTTTTTTCCTTTTTCAAAAATATCTCAACTTTGACAATGAATTGCAACACCCGGTATTTATACTTGCTTTAGATCTTCATTTTTTCTTTAAGACACATTTGAAGTATTTACTAAAAGCAACGCGATTACCGAGTTTGATAGATATTGATAAAGCGGCTATTGAGATACACAATGTCTGCGGTGTCACACCCTATTACCAAGAATTTTTAGTTATCCTATTTAATGCTTAAATGCAGCTTGTTTAAAGCAATTTTTAGTAATTATTTGCAGTAAATACTAAAAATAATTTTTGACAATGAATTTTAAGCACTTTGTTATTGTAGTCCCCTGTGTTTATATTTACTTCAAAGCTTAGATATTCTTTTCAGGCGCCATTTAAATTCATAAAATATCTTATTTAGTTCAAAAGTTATGATTTTTGCAACGAAATAGTCAAAAGGCCCCATAGTGCGACGGCAAAATGCCAACAGCAGCGACAACGTGCCAAAGCAAACCAAGGGACCGAATATCTAAATATATACGCACACGTACGTAACCAAGTGCATACATCCGTATATCACACATTCATATAATTAAAAAACTCTGATTATTTAATTTTAGTTCTGTTTTTAATCTATGAAGTATTTCTAAATTTCCAGGATATTTAGCGTGGTAAAAATAAATTTAAATAAAATCATTTATCCGAAGTTTGGATGTACATAAAAATTCTTTCAAATTCTTTTTTCAAAATTGTTTTCCAGACTTTTTGGAAAATTATAAACAGCAAAATTTCTATAATTTCGATATGCAATCTATTCAATATGTTTCTAAGTACATCGACTTATTTGTTGCGAAATCATTGGTTTCATAGAAGGAGATCCTCTGGCTCTGATGTCACTCTATGTATCGTAGGTCAGGAGTAAGCTTTAAAATTGAGTGAATTTGGAATCTGTACTACGACGTTCAGCGAAACTTTCAAAAGTGCTTACTAACATTTATTATCGTATACACCACAAGCAGGATGGCTTTGCATCATATATGTACTGGCAGACGTAAGTTGCTGGGGCTCCAGACTCTACACGATAGGAGAATTTGTCAAACTAACAACGGTTCAAAGGGTGGCGTGCATGATGATCACGGGGGCGTTACCCTCAACGCCGACTAAAGCTCTAGAGACGTTGCTTCACTATCTGTGGACCTATATGGGAAACTATAGGCTATTAGACTAAACGCGTTGATCAAGTGGAGTGATATGAGTTTCGGACACTAGAATTCTGGAAGATCCCCCAGCAGTCTTCAGGTGCATGGACTAAACAGTTCCGCCCACTGGACTGATGAATCATTTCCAAACAAGGATCCCCTCAAGCAGTGAATGGGAGGAGGATTCAGTCCTTAACTCTTACTCCGACTCAGCAGCCATCTACACTGAAGGCTCCAAGTTGGATCTGAGGGTAGTAAATGGAGTATACTCGCAAGAACTCTCACTTAGCCTCAGTTTTCGTCTACCAGACCTTTGCAGCGTTTTTCCAGGTGAACTTGCAGCAATCAACTCAGCTACAAGATGGCTGATCGATTCTTCTAGTAATTCGCATGCAGTAGCTATCTTTTCTGATAGTACGGAAGCTATCACAGAATTTAATTGTGACAAATCGTCGTCAAGGATTGTCATGGAATGTAGACGTACCCTAAATGAGCTGGCAAGGAGATACCCCACTCAAGTTGTATGGGTGCCAGGCCACAGAGATGTACCGGGTAAATGTGTTGCGGATGAACTGGAAAGAAAAGGCACATTACTGTCAGCAATCAGTACTGCTCGAGATGCGAGCATTTCCTTATCATCCTGCAAACTCTGGCTGGAGAATAATTTTATCGAAAGGGCAAATACAAGATAGTCTGCGGAACCCACGTGCAGGAAGCAATGTATATTTGACCTAGTTTGGATAAGCGTAGATCTAGCCTTCTACTCCGCTTAGAGCGACCAATGCTCCGCCACGTAATTGGAGTTGTCACCTGGCAATGCCTGATGGGAACCCAGGCTAGTAGGATGCAGTCAAAAGATACTGTCGTAGCTACCGTGATGAAGAGGAAATCGAAAGCGTAGAATATTACCTCTTAACTGTCCTGCATTGGCGAGGGCTGGTCGGCTATCGTTTCTCCACTATTCCTTTGAATGTTTGGCTGAACTGGATTCAGCTACGATCTACGAAGGTTACTACCACTCATATAAATTAGAAACAGTTTTGTTTTAACAGCGGTTGCCCCTCGGCAAGCAATGGTAAACCTCCGAGTGTATTTCTGTCATGAAAGAGCTTCTTATAAAATCAAATTTCATTTCGGTTTACACAACATCACATAAGATAACAACACATAACAATGTATTGAGTGATTTAAATTGATCAAATCACAAATCAAGAAATAAATTTTACTCGTAATGTGATTCGCCGAGGAATTCAGATATAAAATTTGTTTGGCATTTACTTCGCTAAAGTGAGTTTATGTGAGGCGAGTTGTAGCTGAAACAAAATGCCGGCGAACGGCGAACTCACAACAGCGAAATTCGCGCTGTCAAAATTAGAACACCCGGAAGCATATGAAATTGAACACAGCCAAAGCGAAATGTGAAGTTCGCTCGGCGGCGTTTCACGGCGATAGATTAATTTCGATCGCCCTACTGGGCGATGGCATCTGCACGTGCCAAAGGTGGCCGTATTTTTTTTGCTTTCAAAGTTTTAGGAGAAAACTACATAAACACGAATTAATTTTGTTGTTTGAAAAATACAGTTGTGGACTCGTTAAATCTGACTTAAAATGCAATAGTTTATAATAATTTCTCTTTTATGTTTTATGTTTAAATTTATTATCAATAAATTTGATTTAGTTTTTCCTAAATATGGTCACCCAAATTGTAAATGCGACCAAATGGTATCTACTGTTTTCGCTACCGCTCGAATTCTGTTTAAGTAGGCGAAATAGCTGGGCGAGCGGTGAACGACAGCGCCGCCCAATTTGGCGAGTTTTGTCGTTCGCCGATATTGTGTTTCAATCATTAGGCTGAGCAGAAGAAGGTGATTTAAGGTAACTTTAGGTGAGTTGAGTTGAGGCAAAGTACGGTGAGCAAAATAACATAACGTATCATATTTTATTTTTCAGTTTTATCTTTGTCTCTATTTTATTTTCCCTATATTTATCTTTATCCTCCTACACAGAGAAAATGAGACAGGTAAAATGCAAGTTTTTAAAAGAAATTGTAAAATAAAATTTTTTGATATAATTTTACTTCATACAAAATAAAAAATACAGTATTTGTACTTACGACTTTAAAACGAAACATTCGCAAAACAAAAACGATCGTTATAATATATTCACTTTTTTTACTGAGGGGAACAAACGACATTAAAGAACTAGCGTCAAAAATGCTTATTTTAAAAACTTAAATGAAAAATTTTAGAATATTTTCCCAACAAGTTGTAGTGCGACACAATTTTCAACAAGCAAAAAAACAACTAGACATTTTTTAAATAAAAGCGTTAATTTATTTTCAGTCAATTAGGTATGAAAAATATTTAAAACTTAAATGTTTTACATTAAAATTTAAAAAGCTATAATGAAAAACTTTCATATCATTTGGCGGAAAAATTGTGTTCAGATAATTAAGTTACTTCAATCTTCAGAAAAGGCGATGAAGTTATACAAACAATACTGCCATTCTAACCCCTAACTACATATAAGGGACATTGGTGGACTTCTTTGACCGAAAAAAAGCTTTGGTAAGAGTAACTTACAAAAACAAATTCTTATGGGTTATTAAATAGTAATTTAATTTAAATTACAGGATTTGGCAGCGTGAAGTAAAATTAGCAGGCCCAGCTTGGAAGTAAGCCAAGAACATCTGTATGTATGTATTTATGTATGTATATAGAAATATATAAAACATCTGTATTTCATTTATTAAATGTTGTAACTTATTTATAAGTATATGTATATCAATATATTTTTGACAATGTGTGTACCAAACGACTTGTTGTAATTTAATAAAAATAAAATTTGAATATCATATTTGAAAACGCATATTTTTAAAATGAAGATAAAACATTTTAGGATTTAATTTCAACATGCGCATATTCAATTTTCAAACAATCGTTTTTAAAAACGATTTGAAAATGTTCGTATCAAAAACCAATACATGGATTTTGGAAATTGAATTGAAAATTTTCATTCTCAAAATTAAAATAAATATTGTAGGTGAAAACCTGGGTCAAAACGTTTTTAAAAGTAAAACGTTCCATACAAATTTGAAAACGAAAATTTCTCTGTGTATCTTCTTATTCACACTTGCCTTCTCACTCTCTGTTAGATATACAAGTTGTATGTACATTAGACCGGGTTGGTCTCCATACGAAAAAATGTATTTGAAGCTGACGTTGAAAAGATTTCGCCACCATAAAAAAATTTATCCTTCTAAAAACCGTCAAAATGTCTTTGTTCCAGTCTTGAGGAGCTTTACTTTTCTTTCAAATTTCCTTTTGCTCGGAGTTCACATAGTTGCACATTTCACATAGTTGAGTCATATACCCAAAGTTGTACCCCTTAAGATATCATTATTGTTTCACCAAATTCAGGTACTTTAAAGTTTAGCTTTTAAACTGTTTTGCCAATTCATTAACAACATTTTTTTAAATAATAATGTATTATTTAATCTGATTTTTATAACATTTACCTTTTCATATCTGCACATATAATTTTTTGCTTACTTAAAATTTAACTCACGGTATATTTGGAGAAAACATGTTCGTGCTTCGTTTTACAAACACTTGTTATTCTTTTTATTTCCAAAGCCATATGGTATGCGTTGAAAACCTTGTAAAATTATTACAGTTCTCATGCAAGACATATACATATAATGTGGTATCAATGTGCTTCCTCAAGGTTCATAGTAAAAAAACAGAAATTTTTGAAAGTTGTTGTTGTTTGAGATTGAAAACGAGAATGTTTGTGTGAGTTTGTGTGTAAAATTTTAAAATTAAATTGCTTGCAAACGTCAAGAATTTGAAAAATTCCGCTCAGCGGTTCTACCCAAGGCACATAAATACAGGTAGAAGCCAAAATGACGTTGCTCTCATGAGAACCAAACCTTTAAACTTCAAGTTGGCTTTCTTTTATTTCCTATATTTCGTTACGCTTTAAATGTCATGTCGTTTTTTTTTAATGTTCGTTAAAAACAAATTTTAATTAACATTTGAATTTGTGTAGTGTTGTGCGGTTTATAAATCAAATACCACTAATTTTTTTAACGTGCCTCAATGTCCTTCGCGTGAGGAGCGTTGAGAAAGCAGCTGTGGGGCAGAGCCGCAGCGAAATGCCTTGCTGTGCGTTAAACTTATCAAAGCAGCAGATTTTATAAATGCACCGGGTGGTACAGGAAAGGCACGTTTGATGCCAAGTGCTGTTACTATGACTCTTATGCCGAAAAGTCCTTCCAACAACACTGCAACTCATAAATCAAAGACAAAACAACAAACGAATTAACAAATTTTAACTAGAGAAAATAAATAAATAAAATTAAACTTCAAATTTACTTAAAAACGTCAAGCAGTGAAATGTAATTTTTTATTTTTCCTTACACACGCTCATTTTTATTTTTACTCTCCCGAAAACTTTGACTTTTGTAGGTTTGACGTCAAATTGGCTTCTACCTGTTTTTATTGTACCATGGTTCTACCTTCCTATTTTTTTATCATGGTTATGACATCAGCCATGGCCGCCATCTTGATGACGTACATGGCTCAATTTTTGAAGTTGCCAGATTCCTAAAAAATTATCTTATAAAAATACACGATTTTAGTAAAAAATACATCCTGTTTTATTTCGAATATGTGTAGCCCTGATATTTACCGTTTGGCGTTGAAGTTTGTGCATTTTTCTGCGTCTTTGAGTTTATTTAAATTATTAAAAATTTAAGTGCGCTGTTTTTGATTGCAAAAATTATGCTGAAAAAGGTAATTGTAAGTTTTACCGTATGTCTAAAGATGAATTGCAATTTCGGTAGCGAAATTTTGTCAATGTTATGAACGCTTTTTATTTAAAAAATGCGCGAGTGCGTTCTGCTCAAGAATAAAATCACCAGCAAATTTCTATAAGCATTCGATTTACATTTCATTTGTCACTATTGTACGAATATCATAATGTTAATCCAGTTTCACGTGAAGTTATAACATTTTATGTTGTTATAATAACCTTTGCCACGATTTTATATCAAATATGCCCATTTGATTAGGATTCCTAAAATATGCTATACGGCAACTATATTTTCTGCGTTTTGTGTACTCTCCTTCTTCGTAAAATATTTCAGCCCATGGTGTAATAATAATTATTCCACCATGATTTCAGCCAATCAAAACTCAAATCGCAACTACGTCATTGAACGAAAACAAATTTTTGACAGCACCATGTCGTAACCTTCTATTCTATGAACCTTGATGCTTGCTTATTGAAACATGCTACTAGAGTTCGTTCTTTAAGGCAAAACTGTGTGCGTTTGAGCGAAATTGTGAAGTATTCGACAATTTTTTACAAGAAGCATATGGCTACGTTTCGCACAAACGCACAGCTGAAACCCTGACTGAAATGCAAAGAGCGAGAAAACTGTGCTGTGCTGTTCGTACATCAATCCGGCAGTTAAAGCGACTGTACAAACGAAGCGCAACGAATATTTGAGACCACGCTGTGGCTGAACCAGTGTTGGCAGTTTTGGTACAATTGTACTCTTTTGATACAATTTCGTTTACAATATACTTTCCTTGTGATGAATAATATCTATATATGTGATGAATAATCTTGGGCCTGTTCGAGGCACGTAATAAAAGCGGCATTACTGCCGTACTGATGAAAAATGGCAACATTGTTGCAACTGCCCAACTAATAATACATTGCTAGAAATGCATACAGAACGTGATACTTTAATAATTCGCGCAACACTGCGGTTGTGATTGCAACTCGAACAAGCCCCTTATCTTACTAATATTATAAATGTGAAAGTTTGTATGTTTGGATGTTTGGGAAATCATCACACGGAAACGACTGAACGGATTTGCATGAAATTTTGTACGCAGATAGCTTATGGGCCAGATTGGTTAATAGGTTATTTTTTTATACCCGAGCGCACTTGTGCACAAGGGTATTATAACTTTGTTCACATAACAGTTGTTTGTAACAGGCAAAACGAATCGAGATAGATATAGACAAATGTATACATAAATGATCAGAATGAAAAGAGAAATCGATTAAGCGGTGACTGTATGTCCGTCCGTCCGTCCGTCCGTCTGTGCACACGATAACTCGAGTAAAAATTGAGATATCTTAACGAAACTTGGTACGTGAACTTCTTTTGGGCGTGGGA